GGCAGGAGGATCGCTTGAGCCCAGGAGTTTGAGGTTGCTGTGAGCTGGGCTAACACCACGGCACTCTAGCCCTGGCAACACAGTGAGACTCTGTCTCAAAAAAAAAAAAAAGAACTAACAGAAAACAGCTCCAAAAAGAAGGGCCAGATAACATGTAAATGAATAAAAGGATTTCTGCAGACTCTAGGAACAGAAATGTCAAGGAAAGGTCGGTGTGAACACTGATATCAAAAAAAAAAAAAAACCCAAAAAACAAAAAAAATCCAAAACATTGTTGAATGAATGAGTAAACAAAGAACTGTCCCTACCTCATAAGGATCCAATGCGATTGTCCGCGTAAAGCACTTAGCCCGGGGCCTGGTCCACTCTGAGCGCTGACTTATCAATGTCCACTACAGTAATTCAGGTTCTATTCTTGAACGTTCTTAGTTGCCAAGCTTCCGAGTTAACACATGTAAAGCGCCTTAGAACAAGCTTGGCACACGGTAAATGCTCAGTAAATGGTAGCTATCATTATAATTAGGCTTCTATTTTCAAAGTAGCTTTGGTGCCAAGCTTCTGTGAATTCGGACTTCCCATCTCAGAGCAAGAGCCCCAGTTCTGACGAGGCTGCCGTGAGCTGGCCCTACGCTACCCCTTGACCTCATCCCTACACTCTGCCTCCTTCATTCCCTTCCAGCCACTCTGGCCTCCCTGACACACGGGCAGCAGAAAGTCTCTCTCCCTCCCTCCCTTAGGTCCCTGTCACCTTCCCAGGGAGGACCACACTATTTAAAATTGCAACCTCCATCCAGAACTGTTCTCCCTTCTGTTTTATTCGTCTCTATAGCGCTTACCACCATCCAGCATGTGCTATTTCTTGTTTATTGCCTGTCTCCACCGACAGCCTCTCCCCGCCCCGACCTACGCTCCACGAGGACAAGGATTTTATTTTATTCACTGGTGTGTTCCCGATGCCTAGGACACAGCAGGTACTTAAAAAATAGTTGTTAAATGAATTAATGGATCCCAGTCCCTACCTCACGGAGTTATTCTTAGAAGCTGATGAGCTCATGCAAATCAAGTGCAGCGCTCAATAAGTGCTGGAAAAATGGCAGCTGCAATTATCATTAAGGCTCTATTTTTGTAAGTTCCTAGATGCACAACTTCTATGAGCCAGTAGACATAAAGCTGTTGGACTGGCACCAGCCACCCAGGAAGTGCTCAGAAAGCGTAGCTCCGATTATAATTAAAGTTCTCTTTGTGGAAGTTCTTAAGCCGTGTAGCAGGAATCGCTAGCTGTGCTCCGCGAAGTGTTTTCTGCTTTCTGGGTGCTCAGCTAGACTGCCTCTCCCTGGCGCCTCTGCAGCTCGCCACAGCCACGTAACTATTGTCTCAGCAAAGGCACATCAATGCAAGCAGCACACGCCACGGACAGGCCAGGGCTCCTAAGAGGACACGTGCACCTCTCCAGGCTCCCTGTCCTCTTCTGCTGTGGCCACCCAGTCTGGCCTGACAGGGAGAGACGACAGACTTAAGGGATGGGCTGAGTTGGAGTCCCCAGATCACCCACCCAGGACTATTACGTGAGTGAGAAACCAAGTTCTGTTGTACCTGAGCCCTTACATTATGGGGTCTATGAGTAGACACATGGAAGCCACATGGAACATAAGCACCTAGTAAATGTTAGTTATCTTGGCAACAGTGATCTGAGGTTCCCAGAGAAGGAGCCCAGAGGGACGGTGGGATAAATGCGCGTCACATTCAAACTCACACTCGCACAAACAGCAGACACACACCGGGTGACACACACACAGAATTTGGCTTTTATTCTGGCCTTCACACGTCTACTCCTAGGACAACACAGATCGGCGGTACCCTATCCCCCATGTCCGCTGTGAGCACCCCAATTTCCTCAGCCCCCTCCTCCCACCCCACCCCTTCTGCCAAGCTCCCTGGGTGGGGGGCTCTGCCTACACCTCACCCCGGGCGTGCAGCATGAAGTGGCCGTGCAGCTCCCCTAGGTTGTCGAAGGAATCCTCACACTCCGTACAGTGGTAGGTGCCCTCCTCTTCCTCATCTTCCTCTTCCTCCCCCCGCCCAGCTGGTCGGCCCTCCCCAGCCCGACGCGGCTCCTCCTCTTCCTCCCCCAGGGCCCTGCCTTCAGGGGCTGGTGCTTCCTGGGGGGCTGTAGCGGGGCAGCAGAGCCGGCAGGGAGGGGTGCCCGGTGGGGCCTCCCCAAGGGGTGAGCGGCCACAGAGCTGGCAGGGCTGGGCCGGGGGGCCTGGGGGCTGAGCTGCGTGGGAGGCCCGGCGGGATGGGCCCCCCCGGCCCCCACCCAGGCGCTGCTTCACCTTGTAGCCAGGGTCATATTCAGGATCATCGGTGGTCTCTTCTTCCTCCTCCTCCTCATCTTCTTCCTCTTCGGAGTCCGGCTCTGAGAGAGTGTATTCTGAGTCAGAGGAATGCTCGGGGCCTGTAGCGGGGACAGATGGGGAATGACAGTGGCATCAGAGGACAGAGGGCTGTGCCCTCCCTGAGCCCCATTCAGACTGGCCACAGTACAGCGTGGGTGGCCTGCACACGAGCCTTCCCTTCCCCACAGATGAGTCCCCAAGGCATAGAACAGGGCCTGGCACACAGAAGATGCTCCATGCCTACGTGTCAAGCGAATGAATGCCTTTCAGGAAATACCTGGGAGGGGGGCGGTTAGGAAGGACAAAGCAGGAGGAGTCAAAAAACAATGGTAACAGCATCCACCGCTATTCTAAGAGCCCCGTTCTTGTAATGTTAACTCACTGGATCCTTACGACGACTCTCCGTTATCATCTCCAATTGATGAACGTGGAAACTGAGGCACAGAGCGGCTAGGTGACTCACTCCCCTACAGTCGCGCGCTCTCACGTGGAAAGCTAAGGTGATGGCCTACGCTGGATCATTTTAAGGAGACAAACATTTGAAAGGGGATTTGCACAATTAAAACCCATGCATGTCTATAGGTACTTTGATGTATGTGGCCATATAATACGGTTAAGTGAATGAAAATAAATAATTACTTGTAATTGTAGATATAGTATTGTAATTTCCTGGGTATGAAGGACATGCCTAGGACAAGTTTAGGTTTTAAAAAGAAGGAGAAAAAATCTGAAGACAATGTACAGGAAAGGGTGACATCAGCAGTCGTTATTGGGCGGGGGGGTGTCCCCATGACAGCAGTGTGGGGAACACCAGCAAGCCAGGAGCCTGCCAAAAGCATCGCATAGGACCGCAGCTGCCTCGCCCTGTGTCCAGTCTGGCCTCCCTTCCTCAGTGTCCTCCAGCAGCCCAGAGGGACCCTGTGCTCCACCCCCAC